TTTTGATTGTCGGTCTTATCCTTTAAAATGGGCGTTTTAAAACGCACACTGACGTCAATTATTTTCCATCCCTTGAGCGCAGGAATGAATTAATAATCGTGCGGACTTTTTTGTGAATTTTTTCCCCTCTTGAGGTCAACTTGATTATGCTAACGACTGCATGCACAGTATTTAAAATTATCGCGCATTTAAAATAGCCTTTTTACAAAAGAAAATTATGAGATAAACATACACTTTATGTTAAATTTTAAAAAGTCAGCCTTTAATCGATGTTTTAGTACTTTATATATATTTTCTACTTATAGCTATGTATCTACAGCGATTATAATTGGAAAACTGATTATTCCTCCCATGCATATACAGCATTTATTGCAAAATAAACTTTATTCAAGTTGTTATTATTAATGAACATATTTGATGATAAGCAGTCACACATGGAAGCAGTCGAGGTCACGTTGGTCGCTTAAGGTAGAGAGCGGCGGATAGGTAAATTCTACTAATTGGAAGAGCAGTTGAAGCGTTACTATGTGCTTTCAACCCGAAGGGTTGTCATTCCCCGATGTGCAGACCCTAGGGAGTCTATGCCTCACGGGAGTTCACCTACCCATGTGCCAAGTGTCGTGTCTAAACTCTTCGAAAAGTTACTATTAAAACGAATAAAACACATCGTTGAAAAAAAGAAAATCATTCCTGACCACCAATTTGGATTCCGAACAAGGCACTCAACAATAGACCAAATTCACCGAGTAACAGACGTAATAGAAAAATCTCTCGAAGAAAAACAAATTTGTTCTGCTATCTTCCTTGATGTCTCACAACCTTTTGGCACGAAGGACTCATCAGTAAACTAAAAGGTATGCTACCAAAGCAGTATGTCGATATTATCAGTTCCTACCTAACTGACAGACTGTTTAGAGTCAAACAAGAAGATCAATATTCAAAATTAAAAACAATAAATGCAGGAGTGCCACAAGGTAGCATATTAGGTCCACTGCTTTACTTGTTATACACCAGTGATTTTCCGAAAATAGATGGAGTAAAAATTGCAACGTTTGCAGATGACACAGCGGTGATATCACTAGGACCGACTATCACCCACTCAACCAAAATCCTCCAAAATGCATGTAATAAGATAAACGAATGGACAAAAAAATGGAAAATCAAGCTAAATCAACATAAATCAGTTCATCTAATCTTTACAAACAAAAAGGTGGACCATGTTCCGTCGCTCACAATCGATGGAACTACTATACCATACAGCAATACAGCTAAATATCTGGGAATGACCTTAGATGCCAAGCTGAGATGGAAAGAACACGTGAAGAAAAAAAGGACAGAAATAGGTTTAAGGTATAGACAACTATACTGGTTGATAGGACGTGGCTCCAATCTTGCTATACAAAATAAAATATTATTATATAAACAAGTCATAAAGCCTATGTGGACATATGGTATTCAACTATGGGGTTGTACCAAACACAGCAATATCAAAATCATACAAACACTCCAAAATAAAATCTTACGTAACATGGTCAATGCACCTTGGTACATAAGGAATAAGGACTTACATAGGGATCTTAAGATCCCTGAAGTCACGGCGGAAATACAAAGATTTGCCGCCAAACACCAGGCTCGCCTCAGCCAGCACGAGAATGTGGAAGCGACCAAACTCTTACATAACCGAAACATGGTCAGAAGATTAAAAAGAACAAAGCCATATGAACTTGTGTAGTTAAAAGTGAATTGTGAATTGTGAATAGTGAAATGTAAATCTTATTGTACCAATGGGTTTATAAGACTGTAAACATTTATTTATTCTATAATATTATTGTAAAATTAATGGTTGGTCTAATAAGACCAGTTTTAATAAAAACATTTAATTAAAAAAAAAATTTCTGCAATTTTAGGAAAGAATTCACGCGATGATGTTTTGTAAATTGTCCTCTCCAGCCAATAAAAAGAAATTCGACTTAAAAACAATCCGCAATGGAAAAGAAAATTTCATATACATGCTTCTATAAATGAAAAAAAACTTATGCTATGAATAATATAGATGTTAATAAAAATAGTAGTCATACATATAGTAATAATTTTGTTTCATTTTGGGCCTTGATTGTCGTCAGACGCCAAAAGATCGTCAAACACATAACCACGAAAGCAGTGGTTAAGCATAATTTAAAATCGACCGGGAATCGCTGAAGGGTGGACGGTTATATCTTCCCCTTTTTCGTCAGAACGGTTCACCGCTCGCTCAGTAAACTGGGTTAACTCTTTTGATCAGCTCGTAAGCGTCTTTGGAGTTCTCAGACACACAATATTTTTTAGGCAATATTTTTTCTCTGCCCTACTCATATAGTTAGTATACCTTCTGCTTACAAGAAAACGGCCATGTATATCAGGAGAGAAATCAATGAAAACTGTTTCAGCACATTAAGCAAACATATAAATATAAAAAATATTAACCATGTTAAATTAATATGTAATTTGTAAACGTAAATAGCATTCAGAACAGCACGACGATTTATTATCAGAGGGTTAAGCCAGTTGTGCACGAACCCCTCTCGACTTCGGCATAAAACTGTCCTTCAAAGGACAGTTACTGAAGATGTTCGTGAGTCCCCGAGAACGGACAAGAACCCTCACTCCCATTTATAACACGTTTGGTTCGCTGTATAGGGCCAAGCATCACCGGGGAAGAAAATGAGATTCTTGATAGGTTCCCAGTATGTATTATATCGATAAGAGTTTCGGAAGTAGTAGTAAGATTTAATCCCAGATCATGTATGACTCTTATGAAGAACTTTACCCAATGACAATCCTGTTTCGGCTTTGACAGGACAGGCTTATCTTCCCTTCAAGAGAGAAGGTGGACCAAGCCTCATCACAAGTCACTTGGTTCACGCACACAAGGCAGAAAGTTGACGCAGGATTTGAACCCTGACTTTGCTTATAAAATTAGAATATTAAAGGTTGATATCTGATAATATCGAGATAATCTGAGATGCAAACCTTCTTGGACATCAAGGACATAAAAGATAAAAGAGAAAGGTACTTACAAAAGGTAAATAAAATTATCTATTGTACATGTCTAGTCAATGATTTATAATATATGTAATTATTAGTAAATAGCTTGTTTATTAAGTTATTAATGTATGTATCTCCTGAAGTAAATTAATTCTAGTCAAACAAAGGCGCTGTGTCCTAAGCCTATTGTACTTATTATTTCTTTATCTTACTGCAAATGGTTTTTATAATTATTTTTCACCATTGTTCTTTATTTCTTTAGGCCAAATTAGCAAAAATTGTAAATATATTTAAGTCCTCTGCCACAAGGATGAATAAAGTCCTAGACAATTCCCCTTTTATTCACTATTTTACAAAATTTATGTAAAATTATCTATTAAATAAATTTCAATTCGAAATTCCAAATTACTGACTGGTCTAAACCCCAAAATGACGCTGTACACCTGTGTCCTAAAACCAATGTTGACATATGGGAAGGTGGTGTGGTGGACCTAAATTCTTTAGGCCAAAGGAATAAGGCTATTAAGTGGCACTCAAAGACAAGGTTGCTTCAGTGTCACTGGTGCCATGAAGCTATGTTAAACCTCTCACCACTCACTTCACATTTTAACCCAAGGATAAGCCAGAGCAGCAGCCCATTCTAGGCATGCCAATTGATGCCATTACTCCAAAGTACAACTTTACCAAAAAAGTACAAAGTACTGATACCAGAACGAGAAGAATGGGCCAAAGGAACACCACTAAAGGCAACTTCCTACTGGTATACTGACGGCTCTAAAACCGACAACGGTACGGGAGCTGGAGTCTTCGGGATGAACCCCAACACCGAACTGACGGTAAACCTAGGCAAGTATGCAGCTGTTGTCCTGTCTGAAATCATAGCGATTGAACAATGTGTCAGATAAATAAAAAGGCGAATATTCCCGGAAGATAGCCATTTTCACTGACAGCCACGTGGCTCTTAAGACCTTAGACTCATGCGAGGCGAAGGCAAAGAGGGTTTGGAAATGCATGGAGGCCCTGACGGAAGTCAGCGACACTAACGACTCGCCGTCATGGGTAAGCATGGGTACAAAAGATTGTCATGTAAGCCATAAAGGGAGCCAACATGGACTCTCTGGGCCTAGAACCCTACTGTGGCCTAAGCAGCCTGCCACAAAAGAGGACACATCGTAAAATGGATCCTTAATGAGTCCAAAACCTGGTGGAACAATACCACTGGTATAAGGCACGCGAAGAGATTCATAGAAGGACCATACGCAAAACTTACTAAATAATTAGAAGAAATAGAAGGAAGGCAACCGCAACCGAACCAGGATTTTGGTGGGACTCCTGACAGGAACTGCCACTTAAGAAAGCACATGCACCTGTAACACATGTACAGACAGAAGAAACACTGTTTAGATACTGCCAGGAAGAGGAAGAAACCGCAGAACACATTTTACGTTTTTGTGAAGGTCTATGTAGGTGCAGGTTCTTGCAACTAAAACAAGAAAAACCACAAGCAAGAGTGGAGTGGCTGGTTAATAGCCTGAAGCTGGTCAGTGAGTTATAAAAAACAGGGGAGCACAATAGATCTACTCAGGTTGAGGTACAGCAGGCCTTGTGGCCGCCTCTTTTATTCCTATCTGCCTATTCCCTAGATAATATACAATTCTAGTCAAAAAAATGCACTATGTCCTAAGCCTATTGTACTTATAATTTATTTAATCTTACTGCAAGTGGTTTTTATGATAATTTTTCACCACATTTTATTTAGGCCAAATCAGCAAAAAAATATAAATGTATTTCAGTCCTCTGCCACAAGGATGTATAATGTCCCTATAATGTCCTACATTTCACTTTTTTTTTCACTTTTTTACAAAATGTATGTAAAATTATCTATTAAATAAACTCCAATTCCAAATCCCAAATTACTTACTGGACAACTTTACAAGTCTAATAATACATGAAAATTAATAATATTTGAGACTCACCGGCTGAAATTGTCGCCAACTCTGATTGGATGTTATGACCTGAAATCAAAGAATGTTAATTGTAACGACATGGATTAAGAATGTCGGCAGTGCAAGTTTCCAAATCAGGCGTTTGGAGGAAGTAATAAAGAAAATTCAGGCATCGAAAAGTTGTGTAATTTGTCCTGTCCCACCCGCCCTGTTTAGGTCGACACCCCCACCCGATGCCGTCAAGAACCTTACTTTGACTCTCCGCCCACCCACGGAACATGATTCAAAGATATTGTACATCCTACATGAAATATTGACCAATAAAGTTTCCAGAGCGGTTGAGGAGCCGTTTGGTTGTTTCCGTACTGTTTTCAGTAGCGTATCCAAGGGGGGGGGGGTTAAAAGGGGAATTCACGCCCACGCCCTGGAGCCAAGTGAAGATGTTGTGTTACATGTAATATTTCTTAGTTTAGCCTTAATTAAGCGAAGAGGCTTATATTTCACAATTATAAAACCTTGATCTGTTACCTCTGATAAACCTTCCCAAAATTAAATCAGTTTCTTCTTAACTTGTCACGCTTTGGCTTTGTTTTCCACCGGTTCGATACTTCGAACATTGTGTTATCAAGAAACCTGTAAGCTGATACTGAATTTTAGGTAGATTTCTTTCCAAAATCTAGCGCTCTCTAGCGGCCGCATTTTTGTTCTCATAGCAATGAAATTTGGCAGGGTGGTAAAGAATCCTATAATGACAGTTGGAGTTGTTTTTCAGCCAAATCGACTGGGAGTCGCAGAGTTATAGGCGATGAAAGTAAAAAATTCAATCAAAATTTGTGCCATTTTTCTCTCGCACAACAGCTTGGTTTGTTTAACTTCACACCCTCCTAGCAACGCCCCTCGTTATTGGATTTTGGCATTTTTGGTACAGTTTTTAAGCTGGATTCTTCCTGTAACTTTTAAGCTCGGTTTGGCTCAAATCCAAGAAGTATTTTAAATGTTTGGGGTATTCACGATATTTGTTAGATGTTAACTCGTGTCCGGTAAGATCGTGAACACCCCTTCTTTTCTTAGCATGCTAAACGTTAATTTTTAGCGATTGGTAGAACCATGAATAAAGCTATAACAGTCCTTGAAGGCTTGTTGGTGTTTGTTTTGGTTTTATTTTGTGTTTAATTGTAAGATGCCAAAAGTTAATGAAAAAGGAAAATTGATCAACTCTTTCATTCAAAATGCCCATTCAATTTGATTGTTTTTAGAGCCTAAACGAGCTTTTCCTCGCTTCTCCTTGCATAAATATTTCCAATAGTGGTAGGTTTAACAGAGTTTGTAGTGCACCTGTAGGGGTTGTTTTCATTGCCCCTGTGATACATAGGTTTGCCAGGGGTTTGGGTAGCTTTTGCCGAGCTTTGGTCCACCAGTTTAGTGTGCCATATATAAATCCCCGTTATGCCAAGCACCATTGATCTACCATGTCGAGTGCTTTTGGGTTAGCTTTAATGAAGAGGCGAATTTTCCTCCGACTGGTATAACAATGTCATCTGCACAGCCTTGGGATTCCGCTTTCATTTAGTTTGCTTATGAGGCCGTCCACTGCCCAATCCACAGCAGAGGCTAGAGTACTCCTCTCACCACCACTGATTCTACTTTTCTCGTGTAACATTGAGCCCTGAACTTTTCTACTTTTTGGCATCGATTCTATCCAATCTACAGCAGGTTCTGGTATAGTACGGATGATGTAGTGTTTCCAGGAAGTAGGGAAATAAAAATGGAGAAATGAATTACAAATGTAAGTGATGAGGACTATAGGGGTATTCACGATGTTTGTAAGATGTTAACTCGTTTTAACTCGAATAGAGAATTGTCCAGTAAGATCGTGAACGCCTCCTTCTTTTCTTAGCATGTTAAACGTTACTTTTTCCACAATGCTGCACGTGGGGATTGGTAGAACCAAAAATAAAGCTATAACAGTCCTCGAAGGCTTGTTGTTGCTTGTTTTGATTTTGTTTTCTGATAAATTGTAAGATGCCGTGAGTAAAATAGGAAAATTAATAACTATTTCATTCACTCGAAAAGTACTAACAAATGACACGCTTCAATTCGTGCCGACATACCTAACTTCTACCCTAACCTCTGACAGCCTACAACTTTATCTGATAGGGGATGTATCTATTATGAATGAGAGTATAAGGACAGGTCAGAAATTAACAAAAGAAATGTATTGGTCTGATTTAATTAATGAGTATTTAAGTATAAAAATAAGTATGAACAAAAAACAGCTGTTAAATTTATGGCTGCCATGTTGGTTACCTACACCCTAACGGATCGCAATGTGACTACATTTTCGACCTAACCTAACATTCTCCTGGGCCTGTTAGATCGAGCAATGTTAACGAGGCGATTCTAACAAGTCTACGTCATCATTTTTCTCGATCTAACAGGCCTAACATAGTTAACAGGGTTAACACAAAGATCGTTAATACCCCTTATTGCTTTTTTCGGGAGATGTTTTAGAATGTTAGTGTCATGTCATAAAATCCAGGAATTTTTCAAGTTTGGGGTGTTTTATAGCAAACTTTTATTATGTCTAACTATATAATCCGATTATTGTTTATTCATCGGCAAAATATAATTCATTTTATGACAAAAAAAAACTGTATGAATAGAAATTATATAAACAAAGAAATATGTAATTAAATTTTATTTTCCAATGATTCCTAAACACATTGCTTCATAGTCGTGCAATTGGAAATTAAATAATTAATGTTAACTAATGAAACTGAAACATTAATTAACAAAAATAAATGTTAAAAATAAATCAGGAAGAGTAAAAAGTTGACAACCGGTTGAAAAGTTCAAATATTCACACGTTTGTTCTTGTTTAAACATTCTGTTAATTTGTATAATTTTGTAATGTCCGCTTTCCTTAATAACATCTTAAAACAAAAATATTTTTCTATCATTTGCAAAATGAAATCTTTGACTCGAATAAAATAATAATACAAACGACCCTTATAAGTATAATCGTGAGGAAAAGAAAGAAGTAATGGCTCAGCTTTTCATATAAATTGCGCCTGTCATAAAAGAAGAGGAGAAGTCTCTTCGTGATGGCTCTTTTTTAAGAAAGATGAAAAGAACGTGGATAGAATAGGGGTGATGATCTGTTGAACGATGCTGGAATTAGGTTAGTCCAATATCACATCTCTGTACACCTTTTACGTTTTATTCGAATACAACATCAACTATAATAATAAAAATCGGATTCGTTTCGGTTTGAAAAGGGCTTTTTTTATAGGCTTCTCAACTTTTTCGCCCGACAAATAACAACCCGATCAACTCTTTTCAACTCCTTTGATTGCACATCCTACGAGTCTTTTCATGTTAATTGGATTTCGACGGATCAGATTATTTTCTTTTGCCGAAAGTGACATATCAGTTTCGAATGTTGATTTTATTTTGAGGAAAATAGTATATATATTTTTATAATAGTGTCGACCACAGTAACCTTATTTTTAGAAGGCAAAACATCAGCTTGGGGATCGCGGTAGTGGTAGCGTGATAGATTCTAGGCTCATAAACGCGGTCTTGGGTTCGGTTTACGCCATCTCACTTGGAATTTTCTATCATACACCCGCCTAAAAACACGCATATATCTTACGACTCCTTCTCTAGCTCACACGGAGTCGCGAATGATATCTCACAAGGGGACGGACCGGGTTGGTGTGTCACGGATTTAGACCAAACTTTCTTTGGTGATTCGACACTCCAAAATATCGGCCAGGTATTTGTTTGAGTTCGCCAACCAGTTCTTGAGAATTGGTTTTGGTTTCGCAAAAAAAATTTAAAATTTAAATTTTCTGTTTTTTAATGTTTACTCAAATCAACTATATGAATATATCATTTTACAGCTAATTTCATGTACATTGCAATAAAAATATAGAAAAAGCTATCAAAGTTTATCAAAAACCAAAAAATATCTAAAAACCGAAAATTTGTCTAGTAAATTAGGTCATAATTTTTTTTTCGTGAAACTAATAGGAAATTTCGTTTTATCATCTTTAAAGAATTTAGCTAATATTGTTTTTTTAATTGGTGGAGGGATTATCAATATTTCAATTATAATTTATTTGTAACCGAGTATTATTTTTAAATTTTCTTTCTTTAATTTATTAAATTAACAGTTTGCTCTACCCCCTCTACTCCCTAATTAGACGGTAGGTAACCGGCGGAGAGAGGGTAACAAAAACTGGGAGCAGAACTTTTAATTTGCAGAAATGAAGCTTTTTCCAAATCTAATTCCAGTCGCAATTAAATGATCATCAATCGTTATTTAGAGATTACAGAAATATTATTTTTGGTGTACTAGTTTCATTGTTGGTTAAAAACAAAAATGTTCTATGACGCAGAATATTCTAATTTGGTATGATTTAAAAAGGTAAATCAACAAAATAATGCTTTTCTGCCTATTTTAATAAATATTCTGTAAGCAAAGTAGGTCAGCAAATTGTCAAAACTTCTATTTGACCTCTAGGTTATAAAACCCTTAGATATCGACTTTCGCGGAAGTTAATTACGTTTTTAATTAATTTTTTGACTAGTAATTTTGACGACCTACTGCCTGACTCTCATGGTTGATAATTCGTTTAAAAAAATTGCATTTTATAACTATACAAACGTTTATATCCGATTATTATTATTTCCATTGAAAAAACGAGATCAATTCTTGACAAAAATATTTTTTTAAATTTTATGCATTTTCTTATAGAAGTCTTTTATATATTTTGATGGTACATACCTTATTAAAAGGCTGTTTTTTTCTTTCAAATGGTATATTTGACGTTAAAATCCTTTTAGCCGTTTCTGAATTAACGCCGTTTTAATCATATATTCTGTGTACGACCTCTTAAAAATGGGAAAAACTTTAGGAGTCAAATAATCGATAAATTTAAATTCAAACAAAAATTAATTAATTAAAAAAACCTCTCTCTAGGGATGCTAAAACGAAATTTCATATTAGTTTCACGAAAAAATTTTTATGACTTAGTTTACTTAAAAAATATTTGGTTTTTCGAATTTTTTTGGTTATTGAT